CCGAACACTTCTTTTATATAAAAATTCGAGAAATTTTTAATTTAAAATAGTGGATTTATTAATATATATAGGGGCAATCTGATTATGGGGCGTCTCGCGGAAGGGACTTTCTACCTGAAATTGGCTCCTATTTAGATTTTATACACGTGGTCAGTTCGTTTCTCGGGCCTAACCCCGCGATTTCAATGTTCGGTGATTTTATCCACTGTGCTGCCATTGTTATATAGCCTGCAGGAAATAAGAGCGCGAGTAATCTAAAAATATAACACCAGAAATTTATTATTTTTTTAGCTTTTTCACTCCACAGAAAGTATTTAGATAACATTAGTAATTATTAAACGCAAATCAATTCTGTATAATTGACGATCTGGTCATGATCTAATGACAGATAATGAATGATCTTATCGTACCGTGTGGTTTTCAAACGATTTTATCATCTAAATTATCCAAAATTACCGTTCAGTTTTCATTATAATTTGATTATTTTATAATACGAACTCTGAAAATAACTTTATTGTATTCTTTCCCAATGAAATTTATGGCGAAAAGCTTTTTGTATACATTGAAATTATGACATTTTGGTGCTTAAAATATATTAAATTTTACATATTTATTACGAATTAATCTTTTTATTTTTATTTTTGACACTTTCCGCCCCGCAGACAATAAGAAGGCCTTTTTCCATACCCATCGCCGTCCATGTTGGATCCGGCAGGGTGGCGAGGGACGGAGCCCGACATATTGACCGCCCACGAAAAATTTCCGGAAAATTTCTCGCCCGATTAATTTTAAAAATTTATTTAAATCCCAGATTTCTTGGTCGTTAATTAATCAAATTCATCAATAACAGTAAAAATAGAATATCCCATCGTTCTAAAAGTCTTCGATATGTCGGGTCCGTTCCTCACCATCCGACCACTCCACTATTATGGGCCCGGCCGAACCCATAATAGTTATGGGGGAAAGTTCCTCTTAGTGCACACACAGCAGGAATTAAATATATGTGCATTTACTTTAAATATATTAGCGATAGTTTACCTCGAAATAACGAGGTAAAAATAATCATAATTTCTATAATACTGTATATTCTTATATTAAGAACACAGTTATAATATTTAATTATATTATTATTTTATTAAATAAAGACTGACTTTTTTAAAATCTTTAATGTGTTATTTAAAAATTTTTTAAATTAATGTAATATTATTGCATCATAACACGCAAAAGAAATATCACACGCTATTTTTGCAACGAGCATTGCGTAAATACAATTTTTATGGTTGAGCTAAGTCCATTCAATAAGTATATAGAAAATTTCAGTTTTATTAAAATAAAATTTTGAGCTGCAGTGATATTTATAAAGAAAATGCTTAAAACTTTAAAATTGACATTCCTTTAGAACAGTGTTTCTCAACCTCTAACGAATCGTCGCCCCTTCAACGTAGTATCGCCCCTTCAATAAAACCGTTATGTAGTATCGCCGCCCCCTTCACTACAAAATTCCGATGCCGAGGGACAAGGCTAATGCCAAATTCGTGCTACATTGAATAGACTAATGACTAGTAATGTTGTTTGTTTAATTATTGTACGATATAACGAATAAAATATCTAATTATTATTAATATAATGTTTTACTATATCACCCAGACAATTGTTTTTCGCCCCCCAAAATATAAATTGTTACTAATCGCCCCCTCAACATGGAAAAACGCCCACATGGGGGCGATATCACCCCCGTTGAGAAACACTGCTTTTGAAAGATATACGAAGAAAAACATTGTAATACTTAATAACTTATATAAATATGTTTAAAATTCATGAAAATATGCACTACATAATTATTAAACTCAATTAAATAGTTTTATAGTCTTACTTTTCGCTTAAACAGTTACGAATTTGGCTGGAAATTCCTCTTCCACACGTTCTGCTGCAAGGAGACCAATTGCTCCAGCTACTCCAACTTCCATACTCCAATTTTTCTCCAAAATAAGTGTTCTGAAACCATTAAATTATTTAATATAATAATAATGATCGATCCAGAATATTTGTTTTGTAATTATAATTACATGCAAATAAAATTTCACATTATTTCGACGATGTAATTTATAATGGAGATAAAAAAATAATCTTAAAATATTTGTGCATTTAAAAGTTAATTTCCGTAAATTTAAGGAATAATGATTAACAATTGCCTCCATAGAAAGTATTTTCTGCAGGCGATGGACATTTTCTGTTAAAATTTACATCGATTTAAGTTAAATTAATCGCATTTTGAACCGTCAGAAAATAAGAATTTACCTCTTTCGGCTTCTTCTGCATTTGAGCAAATATGAATTCCGGAATTTTCATCAAGTTTAGACTCACGGCGAGTAATCTAATAATAAAAATAAAATTAATTATTGGACTGCAATTTAAAAAATTGTAAACAAATTTCCAATGTCGTCCATCTCGCCTGTCTGTCTTTCCTTAATCTCGAGAACGGTGTTAGATAGATGAAATTCGAGACCAGATATGGAAATGGTATGGGCCAAAGATCCTGATTAACTACATGAGAACATCTGAAATGAACCGAAAGTCGCGTTATTTCAATTCAAAATTTTCCTTTGAAAGGAATTAGATGACCGGCACGACTCTATTGCTAGCAGGAAAAGTATGATTACAGGGGAAAGACCCTACTAATTTGAGGTGGAGAGCATATATTTTAAGTTAAATAAATTAAAAATATGATTAAAAATTGCGGCCAGGCATTGTGACGATGTCAATAAATAATTGCTCGTTACTCATTAATTTCGTGTATTCAGTAGTAAATTAGAAAATAAAAACTGCGCGACCTTTTACGTATACTTTATTAAATTTAATGTAGAAGTTCCTACGCGACACAACGAGTAAGTCGTATAACAATGGAACAACTGGTAATGGCGAATTAAAGCGAGGAAATTTTTTCTCGATAATTTTTACAGTTGTAGTTCCGGACATTGAAGCTATAAATATAGCAATAAAAAAGGCATCCGTGTGACAGGTGAGCTTATCAGAGGTTGACGGGTGTTCCTTTACTCAAACTATTTGATAACCCTTGAACCTTGACATCTGAAATACGATCCACCCACCGCCTGCTTTTTCAAGTTATTAATATTTTTGAATATATTAAATAGCCTCGGATATGTTTTATTATCGGGAAAATGTTCTGCTAAGTATAATGGTTGATAAATAAATTTATTACTTAACATTTTTTAAAGTGTTCCTCGCCCCGAATTTAATCGTAATTTAACAGAAAATTCTGTGAATTATTAGAATTATTTAATGGAGAATTGCCTGGTTGTTACGAAATGCCGAATTAAAGTAGTTAAATTTAATAAATTATTTAATTTATTCGACAATTTCTCCAAAACGAATAATTTTAATTCAATTTATAAGTTAATACTGCATTAATGTCTTCATTTTCATATCTATTCGACACAAAAGTCTTTAGAAAGACAAAAGATGACCGATCTCTTCTTATAAATAATTATGCAAATTAATTTGATTTAATGAATTATTAAACATAAGTTCGATATAAATGACAGTTTCTTATAAATCGTTTCGTTAAATAATAAAGTTAAGCTGTATAAAATCAATATTTAACCATTGACATGTTGCCTTCAGCAGTTAAATGTTGATTTTTGTGAAGTGTAATTTTATTCACTAAAACCTCAAATATTGATATTTAAGTAATTACGTTATATGAAATATATATTTTTCCTCTATTTTAAATATTAGAAACGTCATATTTTATTTAACAAGGCATCCTCCAACAATCGCCCACGTAATTTTAATATAGTCTCAAGATCCGTTACGTAATTTAATTATTTCAGCAAAGAATATCGATAAAATTCTTAAAAATCCATTAATAAAACAATCGATAGAAATACTTAAAACATATTTTTTTTCTTTTATTTTAGACAGAAGAAAGTCTGAAAGTCTATTGTCGGATGAAAAATGATAGCAACATATATCTTAATGAATGTCACTAACAGTCGTTTTATATATGAGACACATCTCTTACATTTACTACAAAGTTTTCCTTTAGATATGTCAAGATAGAAGTCGTGACAAAGTTTAAGGAAACTCTCATCTAAATGTCAGAAATTCAATCAGAATCATATCTAAACAAGTTACGTTGATTGATGTTTCTATGACTTTCCTGTGACTTTAAACATCTATATTATGATGATGCAATTTCGCTTCTTGTCATTATTTCGACTGAGAATAAATTTCAAAATCATCTTTAAATTTAATTCAATTTAAGTTTAATTAATCTTTAATGAATCATTTTTAAAATCATTAATATTACGGGCCATCCATTAATTACCTTATAGTTTAAGGGCGAAGTGGGATAGAGAAAAGTACAACATTGTACACGATGGGAAGGAGAGTCAAACATTATATATGTAAACTTTTTTAGTGGCATTAATGGCATACGAATTTGTTCTTATAAGCCTACTTACTGGTCTCGTGGATCAGAAAATATTTGCATAACTTTTTAAAGTCATTTCTTTAATATCAGGGGTCTAAGAACTATTGTACACGTAATTAAAGGGAAGGAGGTTTACCAAAAGAACATCTTTGTATTGTACATACGGCGTAACAGGGAAAGGGGATCGAATGTAGCTCAAAAATTGTACGCGTAATTAATGAACGGTCCCTTATATAAGCAGCCATTTAATATTCGCGTTGTTAATAAAAGACATTAATTAGAACACTTCTGTCGTTAAACATGTTTACTTTCTGAATTACTAATACCTTATTTTAATAAAGAAAACGTCGATTTTATTGATAATCGGAGCAAAAGGATGAAAAAACAAGTTTTCAAATGTTTTTCACTCAATTTTAACAAATTTATTCTTCGAAGGTTGTGAAGTGGTGTAATAGATTTTTATAGAAAATTAAAAGGAATGTATAAAAAATTTAATACTTTAAGAAAATTTACTTTAAAGGGTTTACATATATTAAAAGAACATTCTAAAATCAATATTTATTTTCTTAAACTTGTTTTTTACAGTTGCGAAGTCGAAAACTGTTACATTGTTTGCCCGGTGAGAAACTTTATGCAAATAAGTCAGAGTTTCTGATTCAATAATTCAAATCACGATTAGAAAAAGTTTGATTTCCATCTTCCCTAAATATTATTTATTAAAGAAGTTGTGACAAAAACATGAATGGAATATTTTCCAGGATGCTCGTCGTTCTAGAAAATATTCGTGTCACGTTTAAATAAGTCGAAAACACAAGTTATTGATGTTATACTTATTGAAGCTGTACATGCAATCTTGATCAAATTTCGAATTTATAAATATTTTAAACTTTCTTTGTCATGTTAAACGAAGCGGATCTTGATTTTTCTATCGTGCATCTGACGTACGATCTAATAGAAGTAGCGTGATAATTTGCAAAATTCGCAAGAAAAAAACAATAAACTACTTCTAGAGAAAATAAATAAAAGAAGTCTTCCGATAATAATTACACCAATTTCTATTCGGAATCTTTTAATATTTTATTAATAAAAACATTTTTATTATTGTTACTTAATGCGTTGAAATATAAACTCTATAACAAACGAGATGAGATATAAAACTAATGAAATTAATTCGAATTTCATTCAAAATCTTATAAATATATTAAACTCGAGATTATTTCAATTTTTATTAAATAAATAATTAAGAAGATGTTTTCAATTCTGAATTGGAATAATACTTTTTTTCTTAATTAAAATTTTAATATATATATTAATCATGATAAAACTAATGACATGTTAACGTTTTTTAATTTTAAAATGTATTCAAATTAATTTTCCTGTTTTTAATTTTGTGAAATAAACTTATTTAAACTATACTGCAATGTTTTTTTTTTCTATTGTTCGATTGCTTTTACTTAAACGCCGATAAAATTTCGAATATTTTCTGTATTTACAACCAACTGAATTCAATTTCTAACAAAATTGATAAATAAAATTGCATGAAAGTTTGTTTATAGTTTTTTTTTTAATATTAGTAACAAATGAAACAAGTTTCTGGTATGACGATTTAATAGTGAAAATATTGAATTACAGTTTATTCCATTCCTTTACATGTTTTCATACTTAAAATCGAATCTAACAGTCTCGCTCGAGCAAGAAAAGCTACATAATTAAAGTCAACATTCCTTCTGAAAGACTAAAAAAAATGGCGTAAGATCTACCAACATTCGAAATAATAAAAAGAATAATTAAGATCGAGCCCATAATTAATTAATTTAATGAATGTTTAGGAGGAAAAAACAGAAAATAATTTAATAAATTATTTTGAATATCGTTACGCGTCATTTAACATCCCCTATACCTTCTGTGAAAGGGGACGTTAAGCGAACATCGTGTCATACACATATTTAGTAAAGCTGTGTGTATGGGATGCTGGAATTTAGTATACCTGTATTGATTAAATAGCAATATACTGTACACATACACGATGGACATTTTAATTAGTATTGTAATTATTTTGCTACATAATATCCATTTTAAATTTGGAGAAATCTGAAAATTTTTTTCTGAGATCTGGAAACGTTGAATTTTAAAATCTGGCAACTCTATTTACACGCCTGGCAGCGCGCAATCGCTTTTAGTCCTTGGACACGAGGTACTGTACATGAGATCAGTGTTGCCAAACCTTTAACAGTTTTCCCCCTACATCCCACTAGACTGGGCGAAAAGAAGGGGAAAAATTAAACTTTACTTTAAAATATTATTTGACCAAAAATTTGTATGGAAAAGAAAAAAAATTATTTAAAATTTAATAATATTTTTATAACAAAGTCTGAAGTCATTTCTAAGAATTTTAAACTTCGTACCGTTATTGATTATATTAAATTTCTTTTATTAGATAATAAATAAACTTTTATACACATTATAAATAATGTTTGTGTACCCATGTACAATATATTACTATAATAAAATAAAATTAATTCGTTCGTTTCCTCTATAAGTAAATATTCAACGTGTATAAAACCAATCCGAGTATATAATATATTCAATGTAGCAGACTGTTATCTCGAAACGAACATTTTCAAAGATAAAATATGATGTAATAATATATCTTTATAATTCGTTTAGCTAAAAATCTTAGTAATTAAGCGAATGGTAAACTAATATTTATACTTCTGAACTTCTGGATTTCATTAATCTTGTAAGTTACAAAACAACAAAATTAAATCTGTTCATAAATCTTGATTGTTATCCAACATTTATGTTAATAAGGTGTTAATCAAAATGATTTACAATCTGCAAACACAATTTGATGTCTTTCTCTAATTATTTCTTTCCAACAAAATTAATAAATCCTTTCAAAATCACAGTATGTG